AAAATTATACCCCTGCATTTTATCTTAATATTTCATCATACTGAACTTCCTTGTGTGTCAGTTTTCTAAGAGGGACTGAAGTGCATTTTCATATTTTTTTCAACATTTTTTTTACCCATAATTTAATTATGGCTAAGATCTTCTTCTTGTAATTTCAGCTTTATCTACCATCTGTATATTATGTAAAGTATGTGAAGTATAGGTTAATGAAAGCTGTATCATAGATTATAATAGTACATATTGTAATGTTTTGGGCCGATTCCAGGTATGATGTGGTGTACTTCTCACTAATCAACAGGTTTCCCCAGGATATAAACAGAAAATGAAACTGCAACTGCTTCAATTCTAGAAAACTGACTGAACATTACATAATATTCCATAAAATCATACATACAAACCTAATAGATGAAGTATTTATTTTGCTTTCATTTCAACATGGAAAAGGGAGTAAAAAAAACAGTGAAGTGAAACGGTATATGCAATCAATTATAGTATATATCACAAAAAGAACATAATATTTTATAAAGTTTTGACATATTGATCATCTATTATTAACATCAGGGTATATTTCACCTGTCAATATAATATAATACAATATAATAGAAAACAGGATGTGTGAGATTAATGTATTGGATTATAGTTAAAGCTATCTGTCAGAATATCTGCTTTATCTGCCATAACAGTAGCAGGCCCAGCAGTTAATCTAGAATTCCTGAAGCTACCTCATCAATATGGTAACCATTATCCACACGTGTGTCAATGTAGAAAATTGTTGAAACCATGCTGGCAAAACTTCACTATTCATTCTAGAAAATTAACTCAACAGCTTAACTAGTCAACACAGCATGACAATAATAAATTGAAAACACTTCAATGTTAATATCAATATAAATGAAAACTTTATGATGTACTTGTGTATTTTGCATGTTGTACAAGCGTTATGGCAAGTGGTTGGAATAAGAAAACAGAATATAAATTGTAATATATCACGGAGAAAACTTGAGTGCTGCATGCAAAATTAGATGATATAATTGTTGAATGGCTGGTTTATATATTACATGATAATAAATCATGAAAAGTTTCAAATCAATTCTTTAAATCACGCTACTGTCAACATACCATGGCATTATGGCAATAATCCAAATGCACAGCTAGTTTTCTTTTAAATAAATGCATAACTAACATAAAACATTCAATTCATATTTATAATTTGATTTAGCATTGAAAAACAAGCAAATGAATGAAAAGCATCTTCAGATTCCTAAACCCCTGACATTAATTCTGAAAACCCTCAAAATGGTACTTCAAATTTGTGACTCAGTCAAAAACTCTTCCAGTAACCTGAACTTCTGTTACACATGACAGTGTGGGATACCTCTTCTTGTTTATGCAATTCAGGAAACAGAAACCTGTACATAAATTTATTTTATCACTTGGCAATCATTCATTTTGTATTTTTACTACAAAATGGAACTGTTAATTTATTAAAGCCAGAATTACAACAAAATGCAATAGAGAATAATGAATAATCCAAACTGACTAGAAACAGTTTTTTCTTGGATATATTTCAAATTTCATATACTTAGTATGACCTTCTCCTGAATCTAGGACTAATTCTTATAACTTACAGCCATTCCTGTTTGATGTTATTTTCAAAAAACAAAAATTCAGGAATCATTTACATGTCTACTGATCCATTCATTACCACAGTTTATGGAATATTTAGTTTGAATGGCTGAATGGCTTTATTAGACAACAGATATTACTTTTCCATCTGTTACACAGAAGCACACATCAAGAAGAAAAGTGTTTATTGTAAGGAAAATGTTACAGACATTTAGTATGGCAATCTTGAGAATATTAGTGCCATGTTCACATGTGTGATATATCAATCACAGTACTGCCTGTAAACAGTAGAGCCTGCAGTGTGAGGGGAGACCGACAGACAAATTGCTCCAATTAATCAGCAGGTTACATCAGGTCAGTGCCCTCTAATTGATGATAAGCATCCTAGCATTTGCAGAGATCAGATCTCTGCTGGTAACAACTACTACAATACCTCTTGATCCTAACTTCCTATAACCCTAACTTTGACAAATGCAAACAATTAACTTGTGGAATCTTTTAATCAAATGCCAGGATGCTTATCATCATGATGTAACCACATTACAGTTTTATTATGCACAAGTTGGTTGTAGCATCCCCTACACCCAAGTCCGGCATGAGTGCAAAAGATAACTAGGGTTGATTTTAATGAGATGCCATTTTCATCTACAGAGATTTTACAAAGACATATCTGGTTTGTATTACATGGGTGGGTTACAAAGATCTGGTCCATTACTTCATCAAGTCATGACTGTAATATTTCATAAAGGCTATCTCTTATTCAGTACATGGTTGGCAATATGTAGGGTATGTTGTAACAGCAAAATGACATGGAAAATATAAAATAGAACAAGGCTAAGTCTATCACTTATCTTCCTATCTACCTGATAGAGGTAATAAAAAGATCAAGATAATGTACAAAATCGCTTCTACATATGCAAAGAATGCTAAAATAAATTTAGAAAATCGATCTCCTAATCAAATAAAGTGAACTGGCTGTCAGAGCTACGTTCAAGTGTTAATGTGTACAAAAATGTTTCATAAAGGTGATAATGATTTGTTAAATTTAAATTAATGCTAGGACTTGCTTGAACTTACATTTAAACAGCATGTAAGCATTTTCAAAGTGCTACGTAAATTCAAATATTATTTAAGGAAAGTCTTTAGACAGTCTTTAGAAATATGTTTACAAAACTAAGTTTAACTGAATTAACTGAATTTCTGATAATCATTTGTAATAACAATTCAATATTAATAGCAAGCCTAATTATATATCGAGGACACTTCATTTGTATCAATAGTAACAAATTAGGAACAATTCAAATTGGCAATGTATTTTTAAGAAGTATTGATCATTTACACACATAATTGCATTCTATCATGAATTTAATATGATTACTAATTTGACCTTTACTTGTAACATGTATTTATAAAGTATACTGCAGTGACTAAATCCTAACCAAAATATAAGCTTACAGGTAAATTAAAATATGTATTAAAACCCACCTATGGCCTTAATAATTGAAGAAAGTGCTTTGCTGACAAATTCAGACAAGTTTTAAAATCCAATTCAAAAGGCGATACTGTTAATTACATTTGATACCCTATATTGATCTTGGGTTAAATGCTTTACCTTTTACCGATATTTTCCTGAATGAAAAGTAGTGTTTAGTACATGTACATTCCAATATAGACATAAAGTTTTATATAAAGAGGGGCAATATTTTCAATAAAATGGCAGATTGTGTTCAAGTAATTGACCAAATAATTTCAAGGTTTAATACAGAATTTAATATTTTTGTTTCCTTAAAATGATATTTATCATTTTTGAAATTTGCCCAGGCATTTGAAATACCCCATGCTATGCTATAACTGAAATTACAGATATAAATATATCTTATTTTTGTAACATAATCATTTTAATGTACAAGATGAAAATCTGTGTCAAATCTCAACCTTTAAATTATTATATAGTCTGAAAGCTTCAACACTAAAACAGCCATCAAATTACAAATTCTTTTTGAGACAAGTTGACAATTTACCACAAGATAATAGATCTCCTTGTTCTTATTGGAATATATCAGATATCAACTGCTTATATCCATTCTGCCTTATTATAAGGGCTCTTCTAATTTAGAGCAGCAAGCCTCGAGATTGATGCGATTTTTCATAAAAAATTTGAAAATGTATGTAATGGTGTCATATTGTGAAGTTACCAAAGGAAGTAATTTACACATTCACAAACAATGCACATAAATTACCAAAAAGAGGTCAAAATATGCAAAATAGCCCTTACTGCTTTAGTAACACATTAGAAATATGGTGATCAGTCAATAATCACACATAACATGTAAATCATTACTTGAATCTTTTTACTTCTACACTTTTCTCAAGTTTGATTTTAAAATATTTTGGGTCATCTGGAGGCATGCAGCTTTAAAACCAAAAACAAGAAGTTCAATAGACATTGAAATAAACCTGAGAACTATTTTCATGATACTGTATAACAATCAAACTAAAGTTCATACAGTAAAAAAGCATAAATATTTTACACACAAGTCTTCTCCACTTTATATAAACAATATAAATGTCTTAATAAATAATTTTATTTTTCAAAGCACAAAAAAAAATATAAAAAAGTATCAAACATAGGTTATGCAAAGATAAAATAATCAAAGGAAATAATTCAAGCATATCTCATCAGTTGTTACAAGTAACAAGCTATTACCACCTGTATGAAACAGAGAAAATTATTTGTATTTTTTAAATATAATATTCCTTGGGTTATTATGCATAGATTTACCCAAAAGGCAAACTTTCATCAGAAACAAGGATATAAAAAGATATTGAAATCACTGAAGCCAGGGATTACTTGCATGAAATATTTGTTACATAACCACACATAAACTATTATAAACCACATTATATTCAAGGTTACAGCAAGTGATGTGAAGTTATTTTAGAAGCTTCAGGCATTTACTTTGGTTTTGCTATGATAAATGTGTAACACATGACAGCCATTTGAAAGCAGATTATTCCATAAAACATTTCATTTAAACTTTACATTGAAGTGTTCATAAAAGATCTATAGAAGTCTGGTGGGCTGTAATTATAACAATATTTCAGTAGTAAATGGGAAGCTGACTAAAAGTGTTATACCATACCATTACACAAGAACTCAGAAAGTTTTTGTTAGATTAATAGACCCATGTGTGGGTGACTATACTCCAAAAGGTCAGTTTGTATATAACAAGTTACTGATGCATTTAGGTGTGTTTTTTCAAGACATCAGAAAACTCTTTACACATTGCGTGCTTTTACCCAACCTGGTTATCTAGCCATGTAACATTTCTGTCAATGTTTTTTCAATCTAATATACTTATAATACAACATACCTTGCAGCTGTTGAATCTGCATCTGTATTCCTACACCACCTTTCTTCCCTCCCTGGGCACCCTGAATCGTCGGGGACAGTGGGCCAGTACTGTCCCTTGGAGTCAGGCTACCCGACAAGGAGCTCATTGAACTTGCTGGGCTGATGCCCGGGCTCTGTCGACTCATTCTGTTTATTGTTGTTGTTGTTGTTATCTATACTCTGCACAGTATGATGACATTAAATTGTCATTGTGAAATGTCCAAAACACACTACACTCAATATTACACTTTTAAACACTAATGTCACATTCCTTTCTTCTTCATTATGTCCTGAAAAAGAAGAAAACATTTGCACTTCAGCATATGTGAGTAAATCAATGTTTACATAACACTTCATGATACCAATATTTAACTATTTTCCTCAATCAATATTCCTTCTTTAAATACAAAAAAGACCATCAAATGATAACAAATAATCAATATTAAAAATTTATCACCTTAACCAAAAATTGCCATCTTTAACTTCTATGTTTTACACCTATCGTGAAACATGAAAGAGAAAGTATGAGTTAATCTTCAAGATCAGCAAAATACTTTATACCTACTACTGTATTTGCTGAAATGTTCAAAGATTAAATCCACTTTATATAATTCAAACAGAATGACAAATGATTTTACACCATACATTCAACTTGACAATATTTAGCCGACTGGGAAAAACTTATTCATGCATTTTTCCCTCTGATTTATGCACAATGTTATGCAAATGCCTTCATTTATGCTCCTGAAATAAAATAGGCGGGTTTTTGTTAAACACCAGCATACACTTTTGCCGCGAAAATACTTATCAGTTTACTAGACTGTGAAATTTATTCTATTTTTTATTAAGTTGATGTAATTATTAAATAATTATAGATATTTTCTGGATATTTTTGTGTAGTATTCACATACTACTTTAAATGTTGTGTAATGTTCGAAAAAATCATAGATTGATCAGAATATTTCAAACCTCATTAAACAATATAGGTATGTTTGACTTGAAGTTATCGAGTAAATTAAACAAGGTTTTATACATAATGCAACCTATTCATAATACTCAAATCAGACCTTAAAGAATTTGATAAAACATTTGAAAGCTGGCCAAATCTTAAAGCTTACCAAAGACGGCAGGTATTTCCACTGAATTGATTAAATACCTAAATTCTTCTACTCGCTGAATGTCGTTTTTGGAAAATAGAAAATTAATTTAGCTAGTAATTACGGCCATTAATAGGTAATATTCAAATAAATCAAATATACAATAGAATAATACAGTCAAAACTTATGAAAATTTTCATTCAATATATAAATTGATAGGTAGTTAGTTAGATAGATAAAAAAATCATTCAATAAAGCTTTCATCATATTATTTAACTTACCACCAAATGATTAAGACTAAGTCTTTAAATCTGTATAGCTCTAATTGATTTGTCCTTTATAAATCAAAACCATTTCTGTGTTGTATAAACAATTTGAATAATAATTTTCAGCCTTCAACTTAAACTCAATACTTTAATATTCTTCTTAAATTTCTCTAAACAAGAAGTTTACAAACAAGTTAATACATACAGGGTGCCTATATAATTATTTATTGGTCAAAAACTTGATTCATTATACAAGATCTTCAAAAATGTTTTTATAAACTCAGGTATGAAAATGATAACATAGCAAATACATTTTGTTCAAATACTGGATTTAGGGATGCTGTTAAATGATGTATTTAACAGTGGTAAGACTTTCAAGTTCAGATAGAAATAATGAAAAGTAGATGTGTAAATCACTTAAACATCCCCTAAAACAGGGTACAGACCACATACATGTCCATGGAAGTGTCTATTTGAATATCAATATGAAAACCTTGACACCAGATGCTTACCTATGAGTCAGAGTGCCTCTTTACTTGTAAAGATAAAAGTGAGCAAAACAATTGTGTTTTCTTTCTTATCAATTTGAAATTTGTGCACCAAATAACTGGTAGAGATGACCAATCAATATTTACATTTAGTCCTAATATTGTGCCTCAAAACTTTGTTTATATTCTCTCTGAAGTCAACTGCACTTAGAATTGATTCATTCAGATGATTCTCATTCAGGGGGAAATTAATCAATGTATTTTATTGTTACAAAGCTTGCTGTCTTGTAAAATAATATTGTTCAATAATTTGTAAACATCACAAATATTGTTGATTTGTACTGTCTATTCAATTAATAAACTGAATATTTCTATATAACCATATGTCAATAACTTTAAGCTAGGTAACTAATATGAAAATAAATATTTCTTGACCACATGATTTACATGTACATGTATTTCATTAATTGAAAGAACATATTTCATGACTACTTAATTGTTTCACTTTAATGTTGTAACATAATACATAAAACATGATTTTACTTGATTCATCCAACAATGATCTACTTGCAGTGAGGAAGTGTATACTCACTTTGTAACAGTATTTAATACAACATGATATAAGATCAGAGCATGACAAGTGGGTGCTAAATTATATAATCACGCTACATCCTACTGCAAAATCTCTCAAACACTACTTGTAAAAATGCACATGCAAGTGAAATTTTCTATCACTGGTGCATAATCATAATAAACTGAATCGCCATACATGTTTGCTAATACAATTCAAAATTTAAATCAGCATAGGGAAAAAAAATAAAATTCTTTATCAATAGTCTAGACATTGTTTTCATTAAAATAGTATAGTTACAACATTTAAATAACTATTGCCTGCTTCTTGAAATGCCTTGACACTATCATAGAGTGAATAGCATGAGGACTCAAATGCTTATAGACAAAATACTTTACTCAGCAAAAATACTTTACTCAGCAAAAAAATATTTTACTCAGCAAATACTTTTGTCAGCAAAAATACTTTTACTCAGCAAAAATACTTTTACTCAGCAAAAATACTTTTACTCAGCAAAAAAATATTTTACTCAGCAAATCTGGTCTTAACATGACATGCATTATATGGTTTACCATTAAAGGTTTGCTTCCGTTTTAACTCAACATTTTCCTGAACAGACTTATAGTTATATTCAATACATTATTCAGCTATACTTATTTTATTTTTCTGTTTGTACCAAATTATTACCAATCCTCCATTCAGCAAACATTCATCAGACCTATCATACTTATTATAAACTATACTTATTTACTAACAGTTTACTATCCTTGTTTTATGTATGTTTGAAGTGTACTTCTTTTGTCTTAACTGACCTTGTTCAAATATTGAAGAGGGTTAATAATGGTAGACAAAGTGCAAAATGATACCCCAATATTAAATATTTAACTGCCCTCCATAAATATTGAAAAACTAATGAATATTTACAAGAAAATTTCAATACTAAACAGTACCACAAGTTTGTGTAATTCTTCATTATTAAATGAAACTTTAAACAATACCATCTTTTCAATATATTATGACATTTACTTTTATATTTGTTTCTTTTTTTGTAGTTTTACATCACACTGACTTTGCTGTGTTTACATGGTGATTTTTCAGCTTTAAGGTAGAGAGAAAAATCCTAGGATGTCCACTACCAGAGCACTATTGCAGGCACAAATGATATGGGTACCTGGGTAGGAAAAATTGGGTTTTCCTATACTCTATGAGGTGAGAAAAAATGCCTAAAAATATCTTAATGCTTCTTTCAGAATCCTGTGTATGAATATGTTAACTAATCTGCTGAGTACAAATTCACTATGTGCAAACCTATCTTCTAACCAAAACTTACATGTGTTTCCTTATCCTTTTTTTACGTCTTTATCAATTTTCATTTATTCTTATCTAACTTGTCAAAACATAAATTATGTCTAAATTAAACTGTCAGGCATTGTAAGATATTTTTTACAAGATAGCTTCTTGCCACTAACAGGGATATTTTGTAGACCTTTCTTTGATTCTGCAGATAACCCTGTAGCTAGCTAGGTACTATTTGCTGTAAAACAAAATTTAAATTGACATTTTAGAGCTTATAAACGGGACTTCCACAGCTAATTCCTGTTACAAAGTTATTTCAAAAGAAATAAAATTGTCAAGTCTTTATAAGATAACATTCTTTGGTCCACAATTCACTTTATCTTTCCAGTAGGCATAACATGCCTCAAATATGTCACAGCAGTTATATATTTTGGTTCAAAGCTTTTAAATTGCACTTTCTTATCAAAATAAATTCTACTTAAATCTTCCAAAATGTAAACAAGAACTACAAAATTTTCTATGGCTAAGATATCAGTTGATTTGCTCGATATTTTGTAATCACTGAATGTAATAGTTAAATTAAAACAGGATAGGCTTAACTTCTTTAGTTTATAGTTATCAAAAAATAGTAATGTTTTTTAAAAGCGGTTAAAAAACATCAAAAATATTGTAAATGGGCAATGACATCGATATCAAATATATACAGCAGCTTTTATGCCTGTACTACAATTGGAATGGTAGACTAGTAGAATAAATAATATTAAAGAATAAGTCATTAACACTGTCTCAATCAGTATCATTATATTTATGTACACAGTAACCAGTCTGACCTCTTAAAACATACATTCAGTTGAGCACGAGTTATTTCCCTTCTATTATACTCAGCTGCATCCATTTAACATAGTTTGACACATTTTCTGTATCATTTTGTCTCCTTGAAAAAAAGGTGATTGATTAAGAAAGCAATTATCCAGCAATTAGTAATCAAAGGTGTATGCTTTGTTACTTATGTGCTCAGGGTTATTTTTTGCTATTGGTGAAATGTTCAATACAAAACATTTTATTTTTGCTAATTTCTTGATGTTTTATTCAGTGCTTACACTCATTGCCTTGTTCTGGTTGGTTCCAGGAACAGATTCAAGACTGTGTCTATAAGCTTAATTATAATTCCTACAGAATCAAAATTCAATAAATTCTTAACAAAATAAAGTTACAGCACTTAATCTGTTTTGGTAAACATAGTGACAGTGTAACCTGCAAATAATAGAAACAATCATACCTAATGACTTTTTCTCTAAACATGCAACTATCATAAGAATGACACTTTTACTCTAGTACCACAAGACTTTATATGCTAGGCCTATGGATCTTACAAGAAAAAAAGTGCTTAAGAACAGGTAGATTTTTCTTAATGCTTTTAACTATTCAATATCTGATAGCAATCATTATCACTATATCAAAGAAGAACTTTGGATCAAATTTACAATAAAAAATATTTAGTGTATAAGATCTATTCAGATTAACAATAGGATTTGTGTCTCTTGCATTCAATAACAAAATGGATTATCTATGATAAAAAGCTCCTTGATGAAACAAAATTATAATTCTATCACTTTCTTACAAAATATATATTATAACAAATAGGATCAAATGCAAATGTTACAAAAGATTCCATTTGTTTTGAACACCTTATTGTATTATAATCACTAAATCAATTATTTGAAAAATAGGCTAAAAATAGACACAGTACCTTAATACTTCTACATGTACATGATACCCCAGAGAAATCAAGACCAACTATATAAAGTCTACTTGTCTAAACTTTTTCTTTTGATTTATTATTTAAAATATTACACTAAAAGTCTTAGAGATAGTATTTTGTTGAAAACGCAAGGCGTTCACATAAAAGTTAATCGTATCATTTGGCCAATAAATTTATAAATATATTGCTATTGCTGATCAATTCGAAAATGAACAACGTGCTTCAACTTGCCACTA